GCGTATCACTTGAGTTTTAATTGTCGGTAGCATGACAAACATTTGTGTGCAATCGCATATTAAACGTGACGTTTGAAACGATTGCATTGTATGCAATATTTCTTTCGCCTTTTCAAGATCCGCTTTATCTAAACCGTATAATTTCAGTTTGGAGAGTCGTTGCACTTGACGTCGCAAAGTGGCATTTTTTAACTGCTGTGGTGGTATCACGCTAAGATTGAGCGCTAATTCATGCACCAAACTGTGATAATCGTTGTCGATTTCCTGTTTAATGGGACCCTGTTGCATAAAATTGTATCGTTTCGCAGCTTCCTTTCAACTGATGGTGTTTTACTAGGCTTAAAAAGCACCTCTTCTTTTTCAATGATATCAATGACACCAAGCAACGCTGAAAGTTATCGCAATCTACACTTTTCGTTTAACTTGTTCAATTGGCGTCGGTAGATATCATTCGATTCTTGTAGCTCGTATTACAATACACTTCAATGATCCCATGCACAGCAAAACTTTATGCCCATGAATATATCGCTTCGGTGTCGATGTGGATACCTCTTTTGGAGAGTGTTTACACCTGGTTGTAGTAGGTCCACTTTTCATCGCTTATCAGAATATACCATTGAGAACTCTCCTTTTTTTTGCCTGGAAAGCAATGAAACGTAGATGTTGAAATGGTTCGCTTCGAAATGGTATTTTCAGTCAATTCGTTTGTTAGCTATATTTTCTTTTTGGGATCCGCCCATGTAAACGTTCCTGTTTACACTAGCCCTTCCGAGGTCACTTCTAGGTAGCCATAGCAAGACAAGTCAAATTCTAAACGATAATCTACGTAGTTATATCTTCGCTGAAAGTTGTCATCGAATTTAAGCAGAATACGATTGAGAAGCACTTTATGTATCACTGCTTTATACATCCGTTTGGCATTTTCGCCGTCGGCCCAGTGTTTTTCGGCTTTAACAAGGTCTCCAATTACCAACGAAGGACGGCGTTCGGAAAGATTTTTTTTTTCTATGGTCAGAGCTAAATACTTTCACGATTATACATGCGGAAATTGACAAAAAACTCAATTTCTTCTAAACATACGAGTATGTGGAAGCGATTCTCGTAGTTCCATGTGCGTAATTCTCCTTTGAGACTCGGGTACATATGTTTAATGTTTTCGAACATGTCCTTTTTGGAAATCGAGGTGAGATACGCCCGTTTTAGTCGTTTGGGTACAACAAAGCTTCCGATACCAGTGGTACGCTGCACCGAGGAGGAAAACATGTGTGATGAGCAATTATATACAGGGGAGAGATTATGTCGTAATAATATATAGAAAACAATGAAAAACACTATAATGAGCCACAGCCGTAGAATACCATCAAAACCATTTTTAAAAATTTTTCAAGACACACAATAATTCAGAAGGAACTCACCAACGAAACTTTGATAGAGACGTTAAAAAGATATCTCAATCCCAATATCCCAATGTTATTAACGGTCTGTGCACCACAGAACCAATTATTGGGATAATACAAAGTTTCTACCCACAGCATTTTAAGGATTATCACACACGATTCTCACAAACCATAGTAAAAGACATAGAAATCGAAGAACAGCACATAGAAATAATTTGTCAGGAGCATCGTAGAGCCCATAGAAATGCTAAAGAAAATCGTCTACAGATCCTGCGGCAATATTTCTTCCCAAGCATGTCAGCCAAGTGCATGGGAGGAGTTCCAAAAGATTCTGGAAATTTTAGTAGAGGGAAAGTTTTTTTAAATAACGACTGCTTTGGCTTGAAAGTTAGTACAATTTCTTTTTTTTTCAAAAATATTTTCGTAACATCTGAGAGTAAGCGTCTAAATTTCGTAACATCTGAGAGTAATTCAAAAATAATTTGGTAACATCTGAGAGTAAGCGTCTTAATTTGTTTACAAATGAGAATAATTGTACAAGCTAGTATGTATTTGGTAACAATTGAGAATAATTGTACAAGTTAGTCCGTATTTGTTAACAGCTGTTGCATTCAAAAAAAGGCTATAAATTTCGTAACATCTGAGAGTAGTTCAAAAATAATTTCGTAACATCCCAGAGTAAGCGTGTGAATTTCGGTGATCACGGTTTGACCCAAGTGGTAGTCACCTTTGCGTATTAGTTTTTGACCGCCTATTAATTCCCGAGTTTCTGGCTGGTATGTGTACACTATAAAATTTTTATCAGCGTCTATAACTAAAAAACCCAAATTTGTATTATCCACCATAAATTCTATCGTGAACATCTCAAGAGGATTGAAGTTACGTGAAGCCAGCGATAAAGCTTGGAACTCTTGTTGGAAGCGCAGCAAACCAACCGATTTGTACACATCAGCAATCAATATTAAAGATTTAGCAAATATAGTTTGATGCACATATATGTTGGTATCAAAAAACACTACGCCACAAAGCTCTTCGTCCTTTAATTGCCATAGGTAAATTTTTTGCACTAGAGCAGTAACTAGAAAGCCTAAAACTTCGGATATATCTGATACAGGACATTTTCGTTCTTTTTTAAATATTTCTTTTAACTTGAATTTAATTAACGGTTAACGGTAAAAATTTGTGCCTAAGCATAAATATTCCTTGAGACCAGATCGAGTGCCTTCGTAGGCCAATTTAACAATCTTGAAATCAGTCACGTGTTCCCAGCTCTCAAATTCAATCGAAGTGTCAGGTACAATTTCCCAAATTTCTGGGCCTATCAAAACCATACTGAAGTGCGAAGCATTGGGATATATAAATCGTTCGCCCATATTTTTCTCGGTCAATTCTTTATCTTCACCCTTAAAGCGATAATATTTGTTGGTTACTTCTTCAGCTTGCGTGACCAGGCAGTAAACTCGATTCTCTCAATGGTAGACAATCTGCCGAGGTATACAATGAAGGGTTACTTTGCGCACCGGCCATGGTGAATCGTACGTTAAATAAGGCGGTAGAACACAAATTTTAAAATCGAGTGTTATATCAAAACATAAAAAGCCTTGTGGGCAGTTAACGGTATTACCAGCCCATTACTAAATAATTTATGAACACGTAGCTCGCCTTTACCAGTCAGAAATATAAGATTGGTAGGCATTACCAAAAACTATTGCAAAAAAAATATCTATTATGCATTAGCACCGTACCAGCTAAAAAAAAAGATTTTGAAAAGTCATTATGTGAATGACGGTAGAGCTCTGTTTTCCTTGTTTTTCTTTATCACGGATTATTTTCTGTATATTCTACAGCTGTTTCTCCTTTCGAATTCAACTACCAGGGATTATTTTCTATACACTCCACAGGTGTTTCTCCTTTCTATTCTATAGGAAAAACTGTAGATTGTAAGTTAGAATATAATCCTAAAAGAATTATAGAGAAGTTTTCCTAAGTCTTCTTGACGTTTTGGCCATTCTGCTTTTAAAGATTTTTATCAAAGCAAGGTATAAATTTTTGATATTTCAAAGCAAAGGAAAAAATTAGATGAAGTAATGTAGGTTATTTAATAGTCGCCCTTTCCCTGTTACAATGTTTTCAAATGTTTTCTAATTACGAACATAAGTCGCATTAATTTGGCAAAATTTAAAATGTTATTAGTCATCTAACATTGCAAGGTCTATAATGTAAATAGAGAACTCATAATCTTATCAAAGATACATTCCATCAATATCAATCAATTCAATGTATTAATTGTTGTTAAAAGCTAAGCAATTGGCGGCAGAAAAATACTAAACCTTTATAATTAAGGGTGAGGGGAGGGGGTATGTATTAATTCTTTTAAATGATAAAGGAATTTTTTTAAAGAAAAAAATAATTTATTCGAAATAACATAAAAATTTTTTCACATTATTTTGGATATTTTTTTTCATAAATTTCAGCAATATATCTCAGAAATTGCGGACTACCTAAGATTAAATTTGACAGACGTCAAACGGACAGATAAGCTTTTATTTTTTGAATCGCTCAATATAATAAAAGATGCGTCTACCTCAACTCCTCCTGGGTGATACATATGTCCGCACAAACTTATCATACCCTATGCCCATCCTCATGACGATGTCTGTTACCTCGTCCCATTTAACAGATGAGGGAGATTTTTTGGTCACCATTTCTCTTAGAAAGGAGAGACTAACACCTTAAAGCACCAGCATGCAAACTGAAGCTTCTGGAACTGTGCGAAACGAACGCAAAAAATTGCTAGCTTGACAGGGATTGGAAGCTGAATAACAAAAAAAGTTGACGTTTATTGTCTCAAAACTATGCTAATAATCCCTTTTCATAAACTCATCCGTACTCTTGTCCAACATATGATATGGGAAACCCAATTCACAAGTCAGGCAAAACTCTTTAATGCGGCTATGTTCGATTAAGTTCGACCTTAAGGGTTGTATAAAGTTGTTCGAATACTTGCGTCACCGAACCAGTTTTCGTATCCTATTAGAAATTTTTCTAATTTAAAGCGAACATTTTTGTACACACTTTGCAACTGGCACGCTTTACTTCTGCACATTTTGCAACTGGCGCACTTTACTTTTGCACACTTTGCACCTAGCACGCTTTACTTTTGAAAAAGCTAACTTAAGAATTTTGATCAAAATACATTCGAAACTAATGATAGACGTACGTGGTCAAGAGGAGTTACCCGTAGTAGAAGAACCCGCCGAATCCTCTGCCTCTCAAACAGCAACGACAAGTGAGGCTATTTCTACAAATCTTTTACCAACATTCTTTTTTTTCGAGGGTCTTTATATTGGGAAAAATATGTTGTTCCTTCGGCTTTGCCTGTAATTGGTCATCTTCGTAAGACGATCTAAGGGAGCGTAAGGAAGGAATTTTCACTTTTACTTCTTTCAACAGTTCTAATTTCATACCTGCTTGCATGCGCGGCTTATTATCATCATATATTATTATTATTAAGTTAAGTTAACATCAGAGGACCGATCGTATAGCGTTTGGTTGCTAACAATTTTCAGGCAATTTAAAGCTTATGAAAGATTAAGCACTTACCCTGACGCATTAAAACGCTATGCTGGGGATTACGTATAATGCGTATCTGACGATCTGGATGCAGCGGTTCACCGTATTCACCGCCAATATCTTTGGGTAGCTGCCAAAGAGCGCTGCGTTCTTCTAACCTATTGCGAGGGAAATACAAGGGAGCTAAGACTTCATAAATGCCGTGTTCGTGGGAATTAAGACAAAATATAACAATTTGTGTGGTGTATTTATCTAAAAAACGACGTATAGTTCCTGCAACAAAATATATGTTATATCATTATAATTTTAAATTAATTTAATTTTTTTAAAAAGTGACGTTTACAACTTACTTAGGGCAATATGTGCGGCTAAATCAGCTGGAAAACTCTTCTGATTTGTGCTAACATTACAAACCGCAATAGTTTTTAAATTCAATTCTTTGGCTTTACACAAAACATTTCTGTAGTGATTATTTTAGAGAGAGAGAGACAGAAAAAATATAATATGATATAGGTGAGTAAATTCATTGCAAATGTTAAATTTTACGACCATACCGATAGCAGCAGTGCAAAGTATTTTCTGCGGCTGTTTTAAATTTTTCCTTAAATGTTGGTCCCACCGTGTGTAAAATATACTTAGCGGGTAAATTATAGCCCTTTGTTACACGTACTTCACCGGTACGACATTCTAGAAAAAAACAACAACAAAATTGTATAATTCATCTTTAAACAATAATTGAGTTATTATTGCTTGCCTCTAACGTTATTCGATAATTCGTCTCTTAATTCATTACCGGCAACATTCAATATACTTTCCGAAAGTGTATTGCTTTCACTTAAGGTTTCGTTGGTTGTATTGGTTATAGTATCTGCTTCCAATAGAGTTATATCACCGTCCCTGTTAAAATATTAAGTTATTATTATATTAGAAAAGATAAGAAAAATCACCCTTCAAATACATATTACATCAGTTCAGTGAGTACGTTAGGAAATTGAGAGAGTTGGTTAGAAAATTGAGACCGTTTTTGCGATGGATTTATCAAGACTCGTTTTCAAATCGGTATTCGAATTCAAAATGTTGACTTTTTTTTACAATTTTGAACGCTTGCATATAATAAAACTCCAAAATAAAACGGATAAATGAAGGAACATTATGATTTCTTATGATGATTCTAGAAATTTTCTTTATTTAAGTTCGTTTTCATAGGCAAAGCAAGCATATGTTCAGTCAAACTTTAGTCCAGGATATAAGCCAAAACCTAACATTATGTCTATTGAAGCCGCTTTTTAAAATTTTAACTTTTTCAATTTCAAAAATTTTTTCGGAAACCCATGCTTTAACTTTTTGTATAATGATTGTTAAGTTCACTTAGCTGTATTATTTGCCCCTAGCCTATCCTGGATCTAAATGTGCTTGCATTGTATATCTATTTCTATCATGAGCTGTTGTTTGACACGATGTCTCTCTTGGGAGGCCGACTCTTCATTACGATTTTCAAACTTCTATTTGATCCAACCGAATGTGGCAAACGAAACATTAAGGTAAGATGGTACACAGTACAGCATTTTATCTACTATTTAACAATCACATTATGGAAAGCAATATAAAATGTATGTTTTTTTTTTCTTATGACGTGGGATGGGCCGAAACAAATAAGAAAAGAGCAAGAGATAGAGCGGCAGTCGTAACCTATTGGTTTTTGCGTACAATAGTTGAGCGTTATGCCCTTATCGACCGATTACTCACTATATTTACCCGACGAAGGTAAAACTTAGTGCATTGAGTTTTGAACTCTTGAGCATAAACTGTTAGTTGTGATTTCTATCTACTCGGCTACTCATCCGCATTATAAAATATGCATCGTTGTTATGGGTTTTTAACCCCACACTACTTGTGCTACAAGGACATGTTAAGTTTTTACGGAGCACCAAGAGGAACTTGAGATAGACCCGCTTTCTATATACCGATCAATTTTAAGCAATTTTCTACATCAATTGTGTTCAACCTACAGAGATATTTTGATGAAATTGAAAGTTTCGAGATATTTCGATAAAATTGAAAGTGTTTTGAATCGGCCCAGTCATTCGATCGCTTTTTTAAAAGCCTTTAAATTAATAACGTATTAATGTATATAATGTATGAAGCGAAGTGTTGTAGGCTATTTAATAATGAGTTATGTCCCACTGGGGCTAAAGCTTTTGCAGAAAAAAACCTCTTTAGTTAGAACCAAAATAAGAGAGAACTGTCAAAATGCCAAAGTATAAAATGAAACGCTTTTAAGTAAATAATTCGACAAGTAAAAAGAGAACATTTTTAAATAAGTATTTCTACAGTTATTTGCGGTTAAGCAGAGAGGTATCAAAAGAGAACATTTGGCCGAAATACATATACGAGTTGACTTTTTCCTTGAAAAACATTTATTTATTCGTTAATATCTACTTTGTCCCCTTCAAGGTAATCCCTTTTAAATATAATACACTTGTGTCGGCGCTATCCCCAATCCTTTAAGTACTTCTCATATGCGCTTTGGTGTGGTATATTCCGAATCGTAGGACAACTCTCTCCTTTCATGGGTATTTTCAGTTTTGGAAACAGCGAGAAGTCTCAGTGACTCACGTCCTCTGAATACGGTGGCTGCGGCATGACTATTGTTTTTGAGCAAGAATTTACGACGTGTGAGCCGGCGCATTATCTTTGTGTTCTATCCATGACTGATTATTTCACAATTCGAGGCGTTTTTTTCGTATTTTTTCACACAAACGTCGCATAACTTCAAGATCACATTTCTTATTGTTATATAATACGATCTTCTGGCAAGAAGAAGTCACTATGCACCACGCACCAACGAAAAGAGCGAGCAGAACTTTAAACTTGACCGAACTTGGCGTACTTGTTTCGGTTTTAGATTTTGTGGCCGCTTCCATTCACATGATCATAACCATGTACTAATGTTTCATCACCTGTTATGACTTGTTCGAGACAAACTTGATTGGCATTGGCGTCATTTGACAACTGCTGAGGGATGCCCATGCGAAGGTTCTTTTGTTTAAAATGTAGCATTTTTGGAACAAACTTCCTTGCCTCGTGTTTCGCCTCGTGTATCCGAAAAAATTGTGTTGCATTTCTCTAAAAGTAATTCGACGATTCTTTATAACATTTTTTTTCACTGCTAGCGGGTTATTCTCGTCCTGGAGCGCGCGTCATTAATATATTCTCTAATCTAAGGCACTTAGTTCACGAAATTTGAAAAGTCACCTTTTTTTTGAACACATCACGTACCGGTACACATCATTGACCGTACACATCATTGACCGGTATCTTGGAGATAACCGATGCATGTACATTTTGACGGCATATACTGACAAATACTTGACCAATATTGCCCGGAATCGCGGAGTTAAACGTATCTGGCTAAATCTAACGCGCTTTAGGAATATATGTACCACTACTTTTGTAGATGTAATAAAATCGGAAATGAAACAAGTGTTCGCCTGTTTGGCTTTAAAAATTCTGATTCTTTACCATAATATGAAACGATTATTGACATGTGTTGATATGGGAAAAGGACTGCAATTATGACGAGGTCCTCCTATAGTAGCAGTGTAATCAGTGTTTGGCAGTCGTGTATCATTTCTGGCTGACTCACCCCAGGTGGACAGAGTTTCTGGTTTGATTCTCTAAAGCAAAAAATGTTTTAAAGAAAATTTAATTAATTTAAAAAAAAAAACAAAAATCTGTGAATATCGAAACTGATTGAATACTTACACAAAACGTTGGATTTAACGTTTTGAAATCTTCGTTTGAGTTCGTGTCAAGTCGCATGACTCTGAAATGATGCACAGACAAATTTTGAATATAAAAATATTTGCATTAATTACAAAAATTTATTTATAGTTTTAAGAGAGGTAAATAAAAAAAAAAGGTATGATAACCTCGCGAATTATGGATAACCGTACATACAAATACATATATACACTATAAATCTATGTACAAACACTTGTCACAAGCGAGATTTACTCGAGTGAATGCATTTCCATCCTTTGACATTGCCTATACGGCAGGGCATGACTAAAAAGTATTTTTAAAATTCTGTGGACCTTTTTACCATTTCATTAAAAGTAAGCTTTTCATATTTTTCTCCAACACTTCAATCTAGTAGTTGCCTTAGAACGTTCGCATGCATAAAAATGTACAAATGCAAGTGAGAAAATATATATTTAACTGTAGTCGACTCTCTTACGCCCGCTACTTTCATAAAAAAAAAAATGTAATATGGGATTGGCACGACAAATTCCTTTTTTAGTTTCTACACATGTACTATAGCATCACCCAGAGAAAATATATCATTTGTAGCTCATAGCAATCATGGGAAACTCCAATTTTTTGAATTTTTGGAAAACAAAGGTTTTCTTAGTTTATCTTTTAGGCTAAGCGCGTTCTTCGCACGACTTGATGTGTTTCCAGTATCGACTAATGTACAACACTTTCGATATTTTAATTTTTGCGGCCGGAAAGGAGGTGCTCGTTTCTTGGACCGATGGGCAGAAATGCCTGGATCGATTTTAGAATTTGATATTGACTAAGTTTAGATAAACTTTATAAAAGTCTGAAGCTTCCTGCAAATGCAAACGTTTTAACAAAAAAATATGTTCTCTAGTCTTAAGTGTTGGATATAAAGATATTAAAGTCAATAATAAATGGTTTTCATGGACAAAAAGAACCACAAGCCATGGAAATTTTACTAAAAAATAAACAAGTTGGAAAATTTTATGCCCTATGTAACGAATTTTGTATACTTAACCGCGTATGATTAGCAAAATTTTCAACCATTTCTCTCGATTCTTCACGTATCTTATTCAGTTTATACAGTACTTTTCACGATTTTTCTTATTTTTGATATTTCCCGAGGTTCAAGGATTCGAATCGTAGGGGTTTTTGCTTGATGTGAACATAAGAAATGGGATTCACTTTCATTATGAATTTTATATGCCTTAAATGTATATTATTCCCAAATTTTACTAGTAGCATAAGAAGTCTTTCCTTAGCCCAATAAAATTTCTGATCCGTTACTGAAGAATTCTCAGTTCTTAATTTCCTATCGCGAACGGGTTTTACTCCCCTTTAATTACCATTATCGATTACATCGTCTACCTATCTCTACAACCATAGTAGAATACTTTAAGTTGAAGTTTCGTGACACAAGATAAAACTGAAATGCATCATATTGTATGACTATCTAGTATTTTATCATAGGTAATATAAGTGAAAGTGAAATTTCAGACGAGATTATTGGCGGCCTGCTAGATTTGCCCCTGACTTGAATTATCACATTTTCCCAAGAGAATTACCCAGCATTTTTGACGAATTTTGGTCCAATGCCTACTATAAGCAAATGGGGAAATCTTCATTTTTCTTGCGAATATTTTAACCCTTTTAACTTTTTTAGTACCCACGATTGTAAGATAGGGGCTACAATCATTATGTTTGCAATAGTCAAAAGGAAGCTTCAGAGGCCATTTAAAGTATATATATTCTTGATTCTCGTGGAACTCTGAGTTGATTTAGCCGCGTCTGTGGATCTGTGTTGGTGCGGTGGGTGTTGTTGGCACTCTCCTGGTCGCAACTATGAAAATATCGATTTCAAATTTGGAAGAGACATTGGAAGTTTCTGAACGCAGGTTTGTAATGAAAATGGGCCACATTGGTCAGAGCAGAATTGAGCAGTGGGGCATAAACAAAAAAGATGGCATTCACCGCGATTAATTTTTTCTTAATAATCCCAGCGATATGGGTATCAAATAAAGGAGATTGGAATGCGGAAAACGTAGCAGCAGGTATGCGAGATTCGGCGATGATCTAAGTTATTTGGCAGCCTTTAAATCCATACTTTTTAGATTTGTTTACAAAATATGTGGACAGTAAATAAACAAAAACAGTTTTGATGTAAGAAATACCTTATCGATCCACACAGGAGTGGAAGGAATAGTTGTAAGTGAATGCTCAGATGTCAGTTTCGTTTTTAAATAAGATTGTTAACCCACGCAAGAGTACAATAGATCTTTCAGGTCGCGGGATAGATTGACTACATAGCAATAAAAAAGTTTTGCCAGTCGCACAGATAACAATTTCTTGCGACTTGTGATGGTGCTCGGACTACACGTTCGACTTAAAGGTAAGTAAAAAGCTTTATGTTCTCTCTGCAATGAAATACTATATGTTACAAATGAAAAGAAACATCTCCTCTAAACTTTTTCTTTGATAGCTGCCCGCAATCAACATGCAAAAAAAAGGCGCTACTTATTTTCAGCAGCATTTTCTATTTATACATCACAATATGCTTAAACGCTTTCCATTTTTTCCTTTTTTTTTTTTCTTTCGTGTTTTTACAATATGTTGTTTTGCGGTTATATCCTGAAGAATGAAAAAATACACATAAAGAGAGATAGACCCTTAATCAAGTGAATGCAAGCTGGAGGTTGGGTTTGGGTGTTTGGGTTTCTTCTTAACTTTCGAATATCACCATTAAACCGAACATAATGAAGGGTTTTTTTTTGTTTTTGTTTTCATTGTAGAGCTCTTTGCGTCCGGGCTGATGATAAATTGAAGTTATTGGTGTATAAAACTAGGTCGTTAGGTGCCTTTGCCGCTTTTGTTACTCATTCTGCATTTGTTGTTTTTACTTGTTCGCCTGGGTTTTTTTATTATTTAAACGTAAGGTAGGCGTTTTGTTTGCACTTAAATAACAACAAAACGCTTTATTAACAACCAAGTGCCATTAGCTAACGTTGCTGCTGTTGCTGCAGCTACTGCTCAATAACATATGTATGTACGCAAAACAAATACACAAACCTATAATAATTTTTTAAAGTTCAGTTTTCAACTAAAAAGTTACTTCACGAATTTTATGAATAACAACTAAGAATATAGTATATACAATCGTAAAGGACTATTTTATACCCATCATCGTCGTCCGAAAAAAAGAACAAAGAACTAAATTTTCATATTCTATAACATTCGATGGGCGCGGTCTATTTTCTTCTATTTTCAGCATAAAAGTGAAAATTTTTATGGTCTACGTCTTGTACTTTATGAGTAACAAGTAAAAATCCCCGCAAGTTTTTGTTTTTTTCGTAGACGTATGGGCATTGTAGGCGCGTTCTTTGAAAAGTTCGGGCCATTTGCAAATTGTTTTGCAAGTTTGTAGGTGATATCTTCATTTTTGCGAACGGAAGAATGTTTACCACAAATGCTACAAAGTTACGCAAGCAGACAGATAGACAGACGAACAGGCTGACTTATTTAGATGCATTCAAGAGTTGAAACTGGCCAAGAATTTGCATGCTTTATAGGGTTTTTGAAGCTTGTTTCTGCGGTTTGTAAACGTAATGAAAAAAGAATTAAATTTTGATACGCTAATATTGGATAGGCGTAATCAATTTTTCCCATTTTCGTGCATAAATACTGCAGTATCGCCCATAGAATATGCGTTCAAAATTTTGTACATTTATTTACTATGGTGTATGAGTAATGAGCAAAAACCCAATTTTTCATCCCCTTTGAAAAAGAGAGCTGTTTCCAGTTTACGTGACGCTGTGGGCGTGTCCTTTGACCGATTTGGCCCATTTTCAATACCAACCAGCGTGCAGGAACTTTCACTGTTCCCGCCAAATTTGAATTCGATAGGTTGATTTTTGCGGCCAGCAGAACACACGTTACACAGACGAACGTGCTTAAATCGATTTAGAATTTGATTCTGATCAATAGAATATATACACTTTGTGGGTTCTCTGATGCTTTCTACTGGACGCTGCACACGATTTGACAAAAAGGACATATCCCTCATGCTTCGGTGAAGGGTAAAATAACGTCAAGGTAAAAGTAGATAAACATTCTGTGTTTTTTCTTTTATGATTTTTTTATCCCATCCCTGAAACATGAGGGGTATATTCAGGTTGTTAAAATGTTGGCAAATACCCAAAAAAAGAACCTTCAGATACCCTACAAAGTTTATACATTTTTGACCAACATTAAATTTTCAGTCGATTTAAGCGTGTTAAATTGTCCATCTGTGTGTCCGTCTCTGTGTTTGCCCGACTACGTTCATCAGTCGAAGAACACGCCTACGGTTCTAAGAACACTTCTCTTTTTCAAAGGGAATAACAATATGGTTTTTTGCTGATTGTCCATAAGCTACCACAGATAAATCTACAAAAACTTGAACGTACGTTGTATGTGGGCGATGCTTTAGCACCCGTAAAAAAATCGAAATATTGGCCACGCCTACCTAATATTATAGTTTATCAAAATTTAATTTTTTTCAACGTGCAGAACCCAGCTTCAAAAAACCCACAAAGCATATAAAGTCTTAGCCAGTTTCAAATTTGGAACGCGCCAAAGCATGTCCGTTCATTCGTCTGTCTATCCGTGCTTTGTAGTATCTATGGCAAACTTTTTCCCGTTAGCGAAAATGTATTTGCAAAGGAATTTGAAAGTAACCTAAACTTTTCAAAGGGCTCGTCTATATGACAGAAGCTTTTATCTTGAAAGTAGAAACGCCAGGCCCACTCCATATTATAGAGCATGAGAATTTAATTCCTTTACGGTTTTTGGATAAAGATGATGGGTATAAAAGATTTGGTCACGATCGAATATAATATTTTACTTGTTTTTATTTGTTGCATTTTCGTTCCTGTGTATTACATACCGTAACATTTCGAAGTAAGTAATTCTATCTTACAAAACAGGTCAGCACTTTGAAGACTATCTAATCAGGAAATAAGTCCATGGATTTTATCAAAAAAGTCGGTTTTAGAGTAGCGTAAGGCT